CCAAAAAAAAAAAGAAAAAGCAGCAGTTTATGTGACATTGCCAGCTATTTATAGTCTACAGTCTACACTTGCATTAGAACCATGAGATGTATCATCATTAGCCCTACAAGTCTTTGAATTCTTAAGCATAACACAATCCAATTTAAAAGGGCATATCAATACAAACACAAGAAGGTAAAGAACAACCTTGAACTAGCAGTTCGCTGTTCAGCAATGACCTTCCTCCGACTGCGCCGCCAAAATGAATTTGCAATGTTTGGTTCACTATGAGATAAACTAAGAAGATAAAGAAATAACTTCAGCATGAAAAATGTCACAATCCATTACTTTCTGGAATCTGAACCATGCAGATGTTGTGAGAATAAATAAAGGAATGCAGAAGGGTCATCATAAAACTCATAAACTTGAACTTGTCAAGGCAAGCAATATATATTACCTTAATTTCCTGTCAACAGAGGTAGCAGATCTCAGCATCATATTCCGCAATGACAGACCTGGTACATTTGAGTCTAACCTCCTTTGCAACTGAAGACTTTCATCTTTTTCAGCACTGGTGACAAAAAGAAGAAGAAAATAACTACCTATACCTACTTGATGCATGAGTTACTCAACAAGAACTAACATCATAAGTTTCAAAATAGGTGCCACACATAGAGTTCAAGTTTTGGAACCAGCTAACCTGTCAGGATCAACTCGCTCTGAAAACCCATATAGAGGACTGTTCGGTTCTAATGGTGAATCACAGGAGTCATTTTCTGCAGAATCACTCTCCCCTGCTGCAGAAATATGGGTCATAAAAATTGCCTTGGTTGTTCGCGGCAACAGCTGGCCTGGAAACCGCATGAGATCAACCAAGTATTCAACAGAACTCAATTCAACTATGACGGACATATGCTTATATGAGTCCGAATACTCAACAACCCCGTCACTAGGCAAGCCCTGATCAAAATACACGCTTTCATATATCAGCCACTGTTGTAAGAAAATAGAACATACAATTTTCTTTTCCCCAAATTGAAGGGGAGACACACACAATATCTACGGGAAGCGACCAATAGAAAAGGGAAAAAAAAATACTCCACCCCACCAAATGAAGTTACATCTTACCACCATGAGCCTACTTTCAAGACCTACAGTATCTGCTAAGACTTTAAATAAGATTGCCCGGGGACGACATGAACCATGCTTTATTTGCCCAAGCAGTTGTAGACCTCGGTTTTCAAACATGTGGGAGGTTTCTTCTAGTGCAGCTTTTGCTGGACTTTCTAAATTCGGCCGTTTATAGAAATCAGAAACCTTTGCACAAAAATGGAGGATAAAAAAAGTTAGCAAATACTTTCTCTATAATTTTTTAAAGGAACCTTAGTAAATGCTTGTCATAAGTTACAGATCTCCATTAAATCCCAAGCAACAAGAGATACTAAACCTTAATTACCATATTGAGTACGTCACCAGCTGATTGGAGGAAAAACAACATAGGACTGTACTTTGAGTCATACTTGTAAACTTCTTATCTTGCTTGAGACAATACATATAGTAACTCAAAGATAGAAAAAGTTGGTAGAAATTCTCACCAATCCTGCTATCTTTTTTATCACGGCAGCTGGATTTGAGTTTAATCCTTTCACTAGTGCCACAATCAGTTGCCTCAACATGGAGAGTTTTTTATCTTTAGCAGCATCTACAAGAATGATATCAGCTTTAAAACCCTCTCCTCTCAAGACATGAAGTTCATCGAGAGTAGGAATATCATCAAAAGTCTCCTTAAGCCTTTTCTCCTGCATATTGTCAAATAACCATCAATCATAAAAAATCAAGTTATACCATGATTACCTTCATTATAATCAATTATGCATACATGAAAAAACTACAAACAATTCTCACCGGAACAACAGAATAAAAACCATTTGGAATTGGTTCAGAAAGCACTCCAGTGCGCCATAGAATTTGAGATGCTTTCTGAGATGACAATACATCTTGATCAGAACTTCTTGGTGATTCTGTATTGCTTAAGGTCTCATCTTGAGAACCCAAAGAAACAGATCCAAATCTTTCAATAAAATCTGAATGCCACCACGAAGCATTAGAAGGCCCTTGCTCAGCTGGCCCTGCATCATCTCGTGTCTCCTCCATGTCTTTAGATACTTGGAATGTAAAACCATTTCGCCCCCACTTCTCACCCCATAAAAGATTGCTCAGCCAAAGAAAAATTATTTGGCAGCAAAACATCAGATGGAAACTTTAATTGTACTGACTTCTCCGAGCTGGAGGCCATAAGACCTATAAAAAAGACAAAAACAAAATAGAATTTGAAATCTAAACAAAATCAGCTAAGAATGAAAAGGGCAAAGATCTTTACAGAATGTAAATGAAAATATAAGAGATCATAGTTGCAAGACAAATGAAAATATGCCACACGCTCATTACAGTATCGCATGTCAAAGTATATAAATAAAATTTACACTAGATTCTCTCAATAAACAATACAAGCTAAGAACTATTCGACACTATACCAGGTTTGGCTCGTCGCAAGACGTAAAGAACTCGTATTCACTACCATTGTATAATTAATGGTCATCTATTTGTTAGGCGTCATACTTGAGCTACATCATATGATCCAGCTGTGTACGCCACACTTTGTAGTTTCCATGATCGCACAAAACACGCTTATGTGCTCATTAAAGTTTCCGAAGTTTCATTAAAAATTGTCAATCTTCATAGTTCATACTCGCAACCACCAAATATCTCCATTTTTGGAAACATACTAACTCTATCCAAAACATATGGAGAATAACACAATAACCACCTTTTCCTCCCTCAAAGAAAGTTCAATATTCCAAGCCATGTAAAGTTCTTAACGCAAACCTATTATAGAAAGAAGGCAATTGCAATTACTGCATGCAAAAGTTCCCAATCCATGTCCACGACTCCGACAAAAGAGTATTATTCTCAATTTAGTCTCACATATGCTCCAATTACAATGCAGAAACCTAAGTTTGACTAAATCCCTAGATCTTTAAACAAAACCTATTACTCCTAAAAGAGCTAACTACAAAATGCTTCTCCCCAATTACTCCAAATCATCGATAAATTCGGATTTTAGCCCCGCATTTCTTCACAAATCTACATCTAGCTTCGCTAATCAATGCGAACAATAACCAAATCTCTGATCATTCCAAGCGCTGTGATCAGTAATTTCTCCAGACCATCACATTCACATCACTACGGACCAATCCCACAAGCTCACCAAACTAAATCAACTCGCCATTTGAAGAAACATAAATAAAGTAAGCAAATCCGGATGAGAACTAATCGAAAATGGAAATGATGATAAAGTAAAAGAAGAATCGCAAGAAAGCAAATTTACCGTCAGTAGATCCAAGCATTGGAATCCCAATCTCCTTTGGCGTCCAATAACATTTGGATCTCAATTCCTCCGCATCCGAAGAATCATTCCGAACGCCCAAAACCCCTCGCGGATTCCAAGAGGAGACGTACCAGTCCCAGTACCAACAGACAAATATATATATATATATATATGAATATAACTATGTATATATATGTATATATGAATAATGTATAGAGAAAGAGGAACGGAGAAGCTGATGAGAGAGATGAAATATGTGAAGGAAACCTATGATATATATATATATGTGTGTGTGTGTGTGTGTGTATGCTTGGTTTTATATATGGATTGATGATAGAGTGAAGAAAACGAGGAAATGAGAGAGAGAGAGAGGGAGGGAGAGGGATTTGATTTTTTTGGGCTGTTGTTTTGATTGATATAATTGATCGACGAGGAAAGCGATGGGCTTTTCCAGAGAGAGAGAGAGAGAGAGAGAGGAGAGAAGAATCGAGAGAGGAGTGGAGTGAGGTGTTGAGTCACGTGCGGAGCGAGGGGGAGAGGGATCTGGGGACCTCCCCCCGACAGCCAGCTGGCGAGGGGGTGGCTCACCAACATCCACACCTTCCTCCGCGTGAATCAACGACCCTCCTTTTTCTCTTTTTTTCTTTTTTTTTTCTTTTTCTATAAATTCAAAATCCAAAATAATACTAATAAATACTCCAAATTTAAAAGAAACAATAAGACTAACAAAAATAATACTGAATCCCTTACATTTGTACTACGTAAAGAGTGCGACACTAAAACGAAATTTTAATATGAAAATAAAGTATCTAAATAAGTCGGAAATCGTTATGAAGTAGTCCGATGTAGTAGTCTATAATAATTGTATCATGATAATATGATAAATAGTTTTATTTTTCTATGAAAAATGACAAACGGTATTTCTTAAGTGTAGATGGACAACAAACAAGGACAAGTGGACATTAATTAGTGGTAAAAATGCTAAAAGTTACTATAATTCTTGGTCACCGTACATGTGATATGTCATATTTGTCAAATAGTTAAGGACATGTTCTTTTGTCTAAAAAAATTCAAAAAAAGACAACTCAAGTTTTAACTTTATTCAAATTCACGTTCTTTTAAGTTTTAACTTTATTCAACTTCACTCAACTTTATTCAAGTTATAACTTCAACTCAAATTATAACTCAAATTCAACTCAAAAACTACATTCAAATTACACTTCAAAAGAACAACTCCTAAATCTGTCACGTTAAATTACAATAAGCTCTATTTTTTAAAAATGTTAATTGATGCACCCTTGCCAAAAAAGAAAAAAAAAATGCTAATGCATTTGTTTATGTGATTTACCACCTCACAGGCAGATGAGTTGATTAGTCTTATGCCTGAATCCTACTTGAGTAGTTTGATTATCTTCTCTTTTTATAAAATAACTCAATATTAACTGATTATACCATCATAACTCTTTTCCCTTAATTACCAAAACGAAAAAGACACTATTAATGCATGATCTGTATAGCATCTCCTACCGCTGAGTTTAGCGATACTAATGGCTGAGATTGGCTTGGACCATATATTGGACTGAATCTACGTTTCACATTTTACACGTGGGGCGTTTCATCATGTCAGGTTGATCCTACGTGACAAATTTGGTTTGGATACTCTATTGGTCCCATTCACTTCACTAATTCAAGTTTAAAATTTGAGTTTTGTTACAATAAAAAACTCTCAAAAACAGTCATATTTAACTTTTTTATTACAGTAAAAAGCTCTCACATAAAGTCACATATTAACTCGAATTTAAAACTCGAATCAGCGAACAAAACGGGCCCTAATATTATAAGATATTTTAGTTTCCTAAGTGCCAAAACAATTCCAGCTACATCTTCAAATATCTACTGCATTTTAGCAAGTATTACGTAAATACATAACCGTTTTTTGTTTTAGAAATATATGCAATGTTTTTGTAATTAAAGGAAAGAGAAAAACAAGGAGAAGAGTTGATATTCAATTGGGTTGTAAGAATTGCATTAAATGAGCCATGAGATCTGAAAATGGAGAAATTAATGTTATTGGTCATATTAAATACGTTTTCTAACGGTTGATTTTTTAGTTGATGAATTAAATTAGACAGGGTGAACTATGCCATAATGTTCAAATTAAATGAGACGTCATTCGTGGAAAGGTTAACACGCCACACATGGGACATGTTTTAACTTAACTAAAATACATTACTATTACCACACTCAAAAAAAAACTATATTCAACCAACTTTGTAAGACTTCACGAAATTGGTAGGAATAAAAACTCATATAAGAGCTGCACGTGTTTCTTTGCTCAAAAGACACGGTAGTGTAAAAATGCATAAAGTAACCATATTGGGAATGCCCGAATCAGCCATAAATTTTGTATCAATACCTCAACTTTTCGAATTTGGTAATTTATTTCTTAAATTTTTTTCTTGTCAATCAACTTTTAAAATTTTTAATTTTTGGCTTTTTTAGTTCTTATTGTTCAAATTCATTAAAATTTTAATTGTTTTTTGTCATAAACTTACAAACATAAGAAGCGCATTGATGATATTTTTATTTAGTATTAATAAATTTCATGTTAAAATTTAGATTAAAATTTAAGTTATAATTAAATTAAGTTTAAATTTTTAAATGTATTTGTATTGAAACTAAATAAAAATGAACATCAGTACCCTTATTAGATTATCATTTGTAAATTAAGGTTAAAAAACCGCCAAAATTGTAATAAATTTGAGCAACAACGATTAAAAGTGTCAAAAATTATAAATTTAGAGTGTTGATTGCCAAAAAAAAAATTTAGAAACCAAAATTAAAAAAATTTAATGGTGTCCGTACAAAATAGCCAGCCCTTATTAATTACAAATTGAACTCAACTCAACTTTTGCTCACAAAAAAGCAAAAGGGATTAGCTATTAATGCTCATCATACTATTTTTGCTTTTAGAATTCCTCTTTAAATAATTAATGTTTCAAAATACTTGCTTTAGATTTTTATTTCAAAATAAGGGTAAAAAAGAGAAAAAAGATTTTTGTTCCTTGAAAAAAAGAGATTAATTTGGTCTACTGCTTACCTCCTTGTCTTTAAGGCATGTTATCACTTTCTACGTATTGGAGCAGTCGTAATGCCAAAGGGAAGAAATACATTAATATCAAAGCAGTACTTATAAAGAATTGCTCATGTCAAATCTTAAAGAGAATATTTCGCCAAAGTGTGAACATTTCTAGTGCTGCCCTAGCACCTTTAAGCATGTCAATGGCTCCCACCAAAAGCGCCTAAAGACTGCCACTAATGTTTTATGTCGTTCCTCATTCTCTTCTTTATTTCTACGGTGCAAAAAGAAAAAAAAAAAAAAAAAAAAAAAGCATAGAGATGTTTGACTTGTTCAAGCATAACACAACAGGAAAAAAAAAAAAAAAAAAAAAAAAGAGGCATGTGTTTGAGTTCATGAAGCATAAAGAACATCACAAATGTGAAACATTGTTTCATTTTTCTTATTCCTTTTTTTTTTTCTTTTGATTTTGTTGGACGAATATCTCGGAGAAAATAAACAAACGGAGAGAAGCACAAATGCAGGAAAAGTTATATTAATATGCTCTATTTCGAAGATATTGGATTTATATAGATCGACAGTTAAAAAAAAAAAAAAAAAAAAAAAAAAAAAAAGAAAAGATGTTGCATGAATGCGTATGAAGAGGGATATGCAAAAGTGGAGGATGAATTGAAAGGAATTATGCTGCAATTCAAAGTTACTTATATCACCAAAAAGTGCTCATACATATTCCATCTTATTATCATGCGCGTTTTTTCTTTTTTCTTTTCTAGTTTCCTTTTTTTTCCTGGTGTAAATATCATACCAAGTTGTTTTTTTAAGAACAAAATGAAGATTTCAAAGTGCTTGTTGATCCTAATTTACCACAAGTTGTGCATAACGCGCCTCTCTCTTATTTATTTTAACAATATATTTGGCTGGAGAAAAAAAAAATAGAAGGAAGGATGGGGGATAGAGAATTAGTGAAGGATTTCACATATGTTGTTTGATAGGAAAGATTAGAAGAGGGGATAGAATATTAGGTAAGAGATTCAAAATGCTCCAAAGAACACTAATTGACTAAGCCCCCCTTAATTTGGAGGGACTTTAGGATGAAACTTATATATATATATATATATATATATATTTCAAGGGTGAACTTATATTGTTTTTGTTAAACTAAATTAGTTTATGTTGTTATTATTATTATTATTATTATTTATCTTTATTTTCAAGGATGGAATATATAAGGCGCGTTTGAAATTCGTTCCAAAATGATTTTATTTTGTGTATAAAAATAAAAATGAAAACGTTTTCAATCTCAGACAAAAATCATTTTTAAAAATGCATTTGGTAGTTTTATCAAGAGATTATTTTCAGTATAAAAAACTCATTAATGTCTCTCTCTCCTCGAGAGAAGAGAAAACGAAAACAAAAAATGAAAAACGACTAAAAGTCATTTTTCATTTCTCTCTCATTTTATACTAAACCAACAAAAAAAATCGTTTTCATTTATGTTTTTTGTCTTTATTACACCAAACGCCGTTTTGAAAACGTTTTTATTTTTTATTTCTTGAAAAACGTGAAAAATAAAAACAGAATCAATTCTAAACACAGCCACGGACTTTTACTTATTTACTAATCTATATAAACTTACTATTTATGTATTATTTTCAAGCAAATTCAATAAGAAATCCTAGCCTCCATTTCTCTCAGTTTGTTTCTTAGAATTCACTGTTTTGATAAATATACAAAAGCAAAAAAAAAAAAAAAAACAACATAATCCAATGGTAAATCACAAGGCCTTTAGGACGATGAAACTTGTCTAATTAAGTTTCTTTACTTAATTAGACTATAAGATCAAATTAGTAGAGCCCGTTTAGTTTGTTAATTCGAGTTTTTAATTCGAGTTGAGATATGACTTCATGTGATAGCTTTTTACTGTAGCAAAAAAGTTAAATGTGACTTTTTTTTAGAGCTTTTTTACTGTAATAAAACTCAAATTCTAAACTCGAATCGGTGAAATGAACAAGACTTTACTTTATTACTCCTCATCAATAAAGGAAACCAACAAACAAACTAAAGATAAAAACTCATATTTTGACTAATTACATATATGTACTTTCTAGTTTTAACTTTTTTTCCGTAATTTATTCCTTTAATTTTTAAAACTATAAAGTTATGTTTTGAATTTGAAAAACGGGCCCGTTTAGTTCGCTGATTCGAGTTTTTAATTCGAGTTGAAATATGACTTTATGTGAGAGCTTTTTACTGTAGCAAAAAAATTAGATGTGACTGTTGCTGAGAGCTTTTTACTATAATAAAACTCAAACTTTAAACTCAAATCGGTGAAATGAACGGGATTTTATTTTCATCATTCAAAAACAAGTTTGGCTTCTATATCAAACGAGAGAAGTGCTTTTATTTTCTTACC